AAAAAATTTTATTTACTCATACAAGTAGTTTGTTTCAAGGGAAAATTATACTCAGGTCTCAATAAAGACAATTAATTTCAAAAAAGTCTTTAAAAATCCCGACATGATTCTGAAGTCTCCAAGGACCTGTGTAATTAATTATAACTGTGAAATAACTTATTTATCCCTATTAATTTTATTGTAACAATTTATTTACAACATCAACAGTAGCTGTTGACAACCTGAGAAGAAGTGGTTGACAATCTCGGCAATACTCCTGACAACTCACTCTGTGGGATGCCAGAGCATTGCCGAGGTTGTTAACTATCTCTCCTTGGGTTGTCAACAATCACTGTTAAATTGTAAGTGAAATTACATGAGTTAAAATTAATGGGGTAAATAGGTAATTTCACAATTACAATTAATTACATACAGGTCCTTGGGGACTTAGGAATCATTTCGGGATTTTCAGAGACTTTTTTGAAATTAACTGTTTTTTGTGGAACCTGAGTGTAATTTTCTCTTGTTTTAATACCAATACAACTTTTAGAATAAACGACACATGTTTTCAGCATTTCAATGACTTAATTTGTTGATATACAACTAAATAATTACGTAACTTCTTGTGTTTACAAACGCTACTATAAATAAAAATATCATATTAATTCTGCACATCAAATCGTGTCAAGTTCAATACGCCCGCATGTATGGATGCTACATAGAACTTGTCATGTTTACCAAAAACATATTTAAATTACACTTTAGAAAAAAGTGTTTATTTTTTTCCAGCAAATAGATTTTATTAAATCGAAGCTGACAGATTTTCTGTGCTCGAAACGAATTCTTTTTTTCGCATGTGATGATGAAAAATTAACTAATGCGTGTTGTTTGTTTTTATTGAAATAGATTCAGATCTTTTAAATATATTCTGAACACTTTAGATTTAAAATATTAATATTTAAGTTATCGTTTATATAGGTGGGGTCTGACAGAAATTTGAAGGCTGTCTCGTCTTTTTTGGGCCTCCCGTCAAAATATAAAATTTAAATTCACACCATTGCTTGGAAGGGAAAAAAAAAACAAGAAGAAGAGAAAAACAGCAACACTGGCAACATTACTCGTTATTCGTCAAATCCAATGATGTGGTCCAAACCTAATTCTACTTTACAACTGATATATATCTCCTCGTTGGACTGATCCTTATCTGTCAAATTTATGGCACATTTTCTCCCCCGCAAAAAAAAGAGAGATTATTCTTCTTCTTTTTTTAAAAAAAAGAATTATAATAACGTGTGGATCCCAGGGTTTATTTGGAGATACAGTTAGTGGATAAGGTTTTTTTTGACCAGCTAGTCAGTGGATGAGGTTGAATCCATAAAAGGAAGGAAGCAGAGTGGAATAGGCATAGGCGTGGCACTGAATGCAACATACACCACATCCACACGAGATGCTTGTGTATGAGGCCACACACACACACACACACACACGCCCAACATTGAAACGTTACAAATAAAACAATTGTCTCATCGGTGAGACAAAGTGTTAAGTATACATAACATCACGGCTTTTAAGTTGGAATCTTTTATCGTCACACAACTGATCCTGTATAGTACACTCTTCTTATGTTAACTCTGATTATAACAATTATTTAATTAGTTTGAATAGATTTAAAAAATTAGTTAAATTAGTTATTCATAATAAATAAGTATTATCTTTTTTAAAATATCTTTACTAATCACGTGTATTAGTTAGAATTATTGTTTGATGAAATCTTTAACATATGTAACTACTATAAGGATTGTGTTGGAAAAAATAGATAAATATAAGAATCAGAGTGAGTTAAGATTTTATAGTTAAAATCAAATTAAATCTAAAACTAATTTTTATATTAAAAACTGTAAATGCTATTTATGAGTTATGATCGGAGTCAAGAAATCAAGAAATATGTTAAATGTCAGCTATTGCCTGTTTTCACCAGGAAAGGACTCGAGACGGCTCGAGAGAGGAGGGTCGAAAGTCGAAGCCCTCTAAGCATGAGAGCACAAAAACACCGACAAACGAAAAAACTGAGAGTCCCACCCTGACGGAAAAGACCACAAGGCAGATATATCCTCAATTATGTATTGGCCATGGTAAGCTAAACCACAGTGAGCTAAACCATTAATTACATATATTAATAATCATTCATTGTTTATTTCTGTCTCTGGTAGTTCGCATGTAGTTGTTTCACCATTATATTACATTATTATCTTTCAAAAAAATATTATAAGTCTATTAATTCATTTAAAATTTAATATATAAAATCCATCATCTTTTTAAAAGTAAACCAATATCTCAAACTTAAATATTATGCGAGAGAACGAGTCAATAGAAAAGTTTAGAGTAAAATACTCTAACATTCCTTGTATTTTATCCTAATTATATTGATCTTCTTTCTATTTTAAAAACATACACTTAAGTTTAAATCGTTAATTTCATTAAGAATATTTTAAAAAGATTTTTTTTTAAACTAAAATTTATGTTGAAAGAACATTGATTTACTAATTTACCCTTCATAATATTAAATTCTTAAATTTTGGCCAAACCTATTTTGAAATTGGGACAGAAAATTAAGTAAATTAGTTAATGTAAACATACAAGATTGGACAAAAATTTAACTAATTCTTTAAATAAATATATAATCAATCAAATAAGTTATAAATGTTTCCAACGGAATTTTTGTTTAAAAATTTTAAATTATAAATTTGAATGATTTATATATGTCCCAAACTGACATGATTTATATTATATGGTTAAAAAAATGCATTTAAAACATCTAACCTAAGTAAATAAGTTTCAGTATGTTATGAAGATTTAAAATTATATAATCTATAATACAATTAAAATTAATAAATTTTATAACATATTTAAAATTTTGAAAATATATGTATTATAATTATTTTTTGTTGTATGAAAAATTACTTTTTATATATATAAATGTTCAAAATATGTTTTTGTTGAGGAGGGATGTTTTAGTCAAAATAAAAGTTTGAAAGTCAAATTTAACGGTCAACTAGTGATTTGATGGATAGAAATGAAATCTCAAACATATAAGGATGATTTGTGTAACATACATTTTAATTTCAAATAAAATTTATATAGATTTTCAAAATAAAGGGAAAGTTTCTGTAATTTAAGTAAAATAAAAAGGTAGTCAATATATCTCACTCAAAAGTTTATTTAATAAACCAAACCCACTCGTGTGTACCGCATGAAGATTAAAAATGAATTGTATTATCCACGACACATCTTAATAAAGATTATATTATTAATGTTGATTGATCAATTGATTCAATTTGAATATGTCAAATTGAGAAATCCATAAACAATTGAATCGTATCAAAGTTTTCTAATGAAGATATCATATTCTAAGGCTAGATTTTAAGGTTAGGGGAAAGCGTATGAACTGACCAAGAATTTTTAAAAGACAATTCACAGTTTCGTCCACAGCGCTGAATTATTCAAAGTTCAAGCAGTCAATTCAAAGCAAAGGAAATCAATAGTATGTGTGACCCAAAGGCTTAAAAAAGAGTCAGACAGACAAGTCCATAAGACTCTGACCAGGCCCACCACCGCGTCCAAAAATACGTTTTCTTACTATTTTTCTCGTACAATATTATGGTTGGTTTATTTATTTATTCATTTTTAATTTATAATAATAATATCTTTTTTTTTTTTGCCTGAATAATAATATCTATATTTAATTGCTCAGCCACCAATAATTGGCCTTCCCTTTTGAAAAGCCAACACATGCACCACAATGCGCATGATTCTTGTCATCACAAAAGTCATTGGCTGACACGACCTGGGCACGTGAACGTTTTTCACAATCCAAAATCTCTCCATTTCTGACACGTCACGTTTTGGATTATGAGAGCCCCTGGGGCCCACCCAAGGTCGCGAACTGTTTTTTTAAAATCCACTCGCACCGTCTCGTTGTTGCTTAGGGCTTACCCTAGCAACAACAACAAGAGTATTTCAAAAAAGAGTGGTCGAAGATGTGGAGAGAAGCACCTAGGCTTTTCCAACTTTTTCATGTGCATCCAATCCAAGATTCTCCTCCTCTTGGATAAAAATAAAAGCAAAAGGCACAACACACCCACACACTAGAGAGAGAATCTTTTTACAGTTACTGCGGTTACTCGCCTTCCTCAATCTTCACTGCACGAGTCAACCAAACATCACTTTGCTCCCTTCCTTTTCCTCTTTTATATTCTTTTTCTTTCTTAATACACAAGCCAATCACCATTTCTCAATTAACTGCCCACACCCACAATTCCTCTTCTTCTTCTTTTCTTTTCTTTCTCTTTATTCATCGTTTCTTTTCATTCTTCTTCATCTTCTGTAACAAACGAGCCCCATGTATGATAAACAAGAGTTTCTAGCACTGTAAGTAACCCTGTGGATGCAACCTTAGATTCAATTCGTTAGATTAAATAAAGACAACAAATTGCGTCATTTTGTGGTTCCTATGACTCTGTCTTCAACTGATGACACTATCAACGATTAAGATATGTACCTCGGATAACACAAATTATTTAGTTCTAGCATTACCAACTGATGACAGTACTTTTTTATTTCAAAAAGATGAGAAAATAAGAGGAAAAAACTGATTCTAGGAGAAGAATACCCATATGAAATTACCCTCTATAGTCTCATAAAAGCTCCATGCATAAGATCCTGCAAACTCTGAAGCATCTGCTTTTCCTATATCATTAATTGTGGTTCTCAGAAGAATCCAGCGGTAAGAGGAGACAGAAGCTTGAGTCAAGAAGAGATCATCCTAGTCCAAACCAAACCAAGTCAAAAGGAAAACTATCCAAGGAACCGCGTAGACCATAAAACAAGAGAACTTCAAAAAGTGGTCTCACAAAAAGAAAAAAGGCGGGCTCACCAATTGCTTAACAAACTTAAACAGTTCTAAATGTCTAACCAGGGCAAAAGAATAGCTAAAAAATAAAAAAGGAAACTTAATATTGTCAGATTCACAAAGCTGGGACTTGTGATCCCTCTCAGTGCTACAAGCAGCAGAAAATTCATTAATACTTTTCGCTCTTATGCACAAAACTTGGCATCATACAAGAAAGAACACGAGATCTTGAAACACTAGGGGACTTGGTTAAACTAAACAAAACAATTCAATATGCAGGAACACTTTGTATGATGAAATGTGTATGCTATAGACAAACATAAATTTTCTGCCCTACTTGGTTAATAGGAGCTATTATTCTACAACTAGACGTTCTGGTTTCCACTGCTTCCCCCCCCCCCCCGGGGGATCCTTCGCTTGAATAACAAAATTTCTGATGAAGCTTCAAAAATGGTTCTTCACTTTGTATCGTCAAGCCTATGGACTAAAGTTAATTGCAGTTACCCTGTGCTAACCAAATGGTGACAGTGGGCCGTAAGCAATTGAATTCTCAAGAAAATGCTGCAATCAACTTCTCCTTTGTCAGCTGCTCAGATCCTTGAGACTTGATTACAAAGGAATGGAAGATGGTGTCATTTGCCATTGCAAATTTCGACTCAACAACACTAATTTGTGCATCTTTGAACTTCTGGATAACTCTTGAAATAGGATGATCATTGAGAGGGCTGCTCACCCTTACTACTACCTCATCCTGGGTAGCTTGAATATCGACATCGGTTGCTTGATTCTTATTTTCTACTTTCGGATCGGCCACTGGTGCCGGTACATCCCTCGAAGTGCTTCCTGATCTCTCCCTCTCAGATTCCATGATCTTTAGTTTTGCCTGAAGCTCATGGATATAGGCAATGGCATCTCCCAGCAAAGAAGCCTTGTCCATCTTGGATATATTGGGCACAACAGATCTAAGAGCATAGAACCGCTGATTCAGCTTCTCACGCCTCTGCCTCTCTGCTTCCACATGATTCAAGGGTTCTTTCCTCCCATTGGCAGGCTTTCTACCCCGTTTCCTCGGCTTCCTTTCATCTGTTGCCCCCAGTTGCTCTTCTTTGCATGAAGCTTCAACATCGGATAGCTCTGATTCGGCATTGATTGGTCTCACAGAAGGCCTTGAAGTGGCTCCAGAGAAATCAATTTGCATTTGCACCTGCCTTTGTGGTTGGTAGTTGCTAAGCCGAAAGTCTTGCCTATACTGGTTAACTCCCTCCGGTACATTGCAAACTGAGGACCTTGAAGGATAAATCTCAGTTGGGCTCGCCTGTTTCCCACCTTGATTAGCAGCCCAACTCGATCCATGAATACCATTTCGCACATTTGGAAAGCTAATATTATTGCCATTGGGCTGGCCATGACCTGCCCAAGGCCTCTCCTCCATTTTCCTCACAGCAAGCTTCTCCCTAAAATGGGGACGACCAGAGTTTAACGAGTTCAAGTCCTGCCCAAAAATCTTTGGAACTCCCTCCACCTTATCCCCAACTGGCAAACCAGAAAAGACACCATTTTCGTCTCTCTTCTCATTCACCACAACAGGCAATGGCGAAAGTGGGGAAACCCTAGGAATCGACGATTGTGTAGAAAACTCTGATTTTATCACCTGCAACAATTCTAAGCTCTCCCCTACCATCCTCACAGAACCCAATTCCACAACTCCGATGTCAGTAGGGACCAAAACTATGGTCTGAATTCCAGCTGATTTTGCCAAAAACGATCTCACACAGTAGTCAGAGCTAAGTGCCTCAGAGTACCACACATGCTTCCCTGAAGCAAGGCATTTACCAGGCCCACCATGGCCTCGAGGGAAGGAGAAGTACATGGAAGCCAGAAAGAACATTTCTGTATCAGTAACCCTATCCAATCCGAAGGCATAATTGTCTTCATCAGAACCCCCAAATGTTGTGTGAAGCTTCTGAAGCACCCCTTTCCTCATCCTCTGCTGCATCTCATCTTTTTCCAGGCGAAGAGTAAGAAGCCCTTTGACTCCACCTTCTTCTTCTTCTCCCTTGGGTTCTCTGCAACAGCCATCTCCCCAACCCAAAACCCAATCCCCAGATTTCTTCGACTGTGATATTTGCCAGAAAATCGCGTAGTTCCAGCTGAAATTCGACGCGTTTGGACGGTCCACGAGATCCGAAAGCTTGTTCTGCAAACTTTCGTCGCTTCCGACTGTCATTAACAAATTGTCGTTCGCCGCAGGGTTTGTAATCAAGTATTCAAAAGCTCGATTTCCCAGAACCGATGCAACCATGCCTTTTTCTTCATCATTCCACAACACACCTCCTAAACCCAACTCAAGCTTCATATCTAATCTCCAAAAATAAATCACCCAGGAAATAAAAAAATACTCGTAATCTCCAACTTTTCAACTCTCATTCAAATCTCAAATCATCAGAGAAATCTTTCATCAGCTCCTTAAATTCAATAAAATTACATCCACGAATGAGAAACCCTCGTAAAATACTGAACAGCGCCTCCAGTTTCAGTTTCAGATCTTACAAGTATAAACTCTGGGTTGCCGAGAAAACCCAGGATAAAAAAACAAAGAAAAAAGCAAACAATCGTAAAAAGAAGCCCGAACAACAATTCAAACCAACCAGGCAAAAGACGAGGACGAGGCTATGTTGGAAGAAGAGAACAGAGCGAAAACCACAGTCCGAGGAGAAACAGACATTCGAAGTAGGTTGGAGAGTTCAAGGAAGCTAAAGGGAAGCCTCCGAATCAGGTTTCTCAAATCAAAATGAAGGGAAAAGGCGGTCTTGCGTCGTTTATGCAGAGTGAAGAAGGGCAGTGTGTGAAAATTGAAGAGACGGAGAAAGAAGAGAGAGAGTTTTGAGAGAGAAACGAAACGGACCAAACGGGCATGCGACATACTCTCTTTCTAACTTCTAACTGCAAACAATAAACCATGGTTAGGTTAATCGTGAACTAGGGTTGTTTTTGTGAGTTGAGGAGGAGGCGTCATTGGCTTCTTCACATTTTGTTATACGAAACACCTGAAATATTAATTGTGCCGCGCCCACTCCCGTGTTTTGCCTTTTTTAAAAAACAAAATGTGTTTAAAATCGTGTGTTGACTCGGTATCCAATATTTTAAAATATTTTTATATTAACATTTATTATTTTAAACTAATTTTTGTGCATCGATGCTCTAAAATATTTGTTCCCTAATACTAACTGTCTTAAACTAAATTGAAGTGCATCATGCACACTTTTTTTTTTTTCAGGAGCACTCTATATAAGATGCTGATTACTATTGAAAAAATATTTTAAAGATAAAATGTCAAAATTATATCAAACATTATTTTAAAATGATGAGCATTATTCAAAAAATATTTTAAAATGTTAAATTTAGCAGAGATTAGTTTAAATACTGAGTGCTGTTAAATAAATTTCATGAACAATACTCCCTCCGTCTCTTATTATAAGGTATAATTTTTTCAATAGGTCTGTTCCTTTTTATAAGATCCTCTTTGAATTTGTCCGAGTATTTAATATATTATTACTTATTTTACCTCTAATTTAATTCGTTTAATATATTTTTTTTCATTTATCTCACTATTATCCTATCACATTTACCCATTTATATATAAGGATATAATTGGAAAAAAATTGTATTTGCTATATATTAATTGTTTTTAACTAATTTTAACTGTTTTCTTAAACCACGTAATTTAGTTAAAAAGATCTTATAATAAGGGACGGAGAGAAAATGTATTTTAACTCTAAAATCTTTGGCTCTATATAACTTCTACTAAACCTAACTCTTATTGCTAAAATTAAAGGGGTGTTTGGGTAATCCCAAAATCACTTTTCAGAAGTACTTTTCCACAAATCAAGGCAAACTCCTACACATATTTACTTTGTACACCGTAAAAGCACTTCTGAAACTATGATTTTGTTCTTACCCAAACACCCCCTAAATTACTCCCTCCGTTCCTTATTATAAGAGACATTTGATGCTTATGGTATGTTTCTATATATAAGAGACACTTAAAAGTTGTCTCTACTTTTTTGTGTTGATTTCCTATTTTACCCATATTTATTATCTCCAACTCACACTCTCTCTCCCTCCCACTTCTCTTTCTTTTAATATTTTAATTATTCTCTCTCTTGCTCTCTTTCCTTATTAATGAGGGCATTTTTGGAAAACAAATTATACTTTTTACACATTAATTGTTCTTAACTAATTTTAACTGTTTTTTTGATCAACGTATTTCGGTTATTTGTCTCTTATAATAAGGAATGGAGGGAGTATTTTGCTAAAACTTAAATGTGCTGAGGGATAAACTATTTTTGTACGTATCAAAAAGGTTACCTCATATTATTACCCAAAAAAAAAAAAAAGGCGACCCCATGGGATGAGAGTTGGGTCACATGGGCGTTGTGGATAGGATTGGTTTTTTTTTTCCCCCTTTTACTTTTGATAATATATTATCAAGAAAAAATTCATCAACGGTGGAAAAAAAAAATAAATAGAGATAGGTTTTCTAAATTTTGTTTAAAACTAATAGAAATTTAAATATTTAATATTTATAAATCTTAAGGTAAAAATATTTACAAATTTGACATGCAAATTAGTAGTATAAGGTAATGATGATGACTGAGAAAGTGTTTTTATCTTAAAATTTATGAAGGATTACATTAAAATATATAGACATGCAATGAGATTAATAATTGTATATGATACAACCTAAACATAATTTGGATGATGTGAATCTTTTCTGCCCACTCGAGAAGTTACCTCGAATAACGAGCCCTTGAAAAATAATAATAATAATATAATAAATTAGTGAGCGAGAAGCAAAGTAGTAGTATTTGTGTATTCGTTTGGCCTTCGTGTGATTCACAGCTACGCGTGAATTTCCTCATGTCATGTGCATGAACCCATTCAGCTTCTGAATTCACTCCGCGCCATCCAACTCCAACCTGTTCCACCAAAAACAATTCTTCAACGTCATACATATTCATTTTCTCGTAAAGTTTGGGAATCTAGTCTTTCTTTCTTTATCTTTGTTAATGTAAGTATCAAAATGCATTAATACATATGCTATAAAAGTAACAAAATCAAGCCCCTTTGCCTAAAAATATAGGACAAGAGTTGAGTAATATAAAATATTGGAACTCTATCCTGTGTGCTAATTTAACATAAGAAGCGGAGAGGAAAAGAGTAAGAAAGAAAGAAATATTCTTCTGGTCCTATTTATAAGTCATTTACACAGATAAATTTTTTTTTAAAGTTTATTAACTCTCATTTAAAATTCAATAACTTCCATTTAATATACATTATATCTCATGTAAACAAAGTCAATACACTAATAAAAGAGAGATAAAATTATACATCTATATAAAAAATGTCTTATCTCTGTCCCGTAAATAGGACCAAAAAAGTATCTTGATGCAATATGTTGGGTGAAAGCTTACTGGCATCATATCTTAGAATGAATTGCTTCTTTAAACAGTAAATTTGCAAAACTTGCAAGCTTTGTAGTTTTGCAGTGTAAGTTTGATCTGAAATATTGGACATGAAAGTAAGAGTTGTGATTAGATGGTTTTGTCCAAAGAATTTTTTATATTGGTCCTTATCCTTGGGAATCTAGTCTTATCGGCGGAGACTGGAAAGGATAAATTAGGAAAAACATTTTTTTTAGATATAAGGAGTGTATTTTATCGACAACCGAGTGTGATGTTTTCCCATGATACTAACGATAAAATATAGATCCCTCTTATAAAGTCTTCCTCAAATGTGAATATTGTTGTTGGCCGGGAAAAAAAAAAGGTGAATACTGCCCAGAAAATTCTATCTTCTGTTTTCCGAATGTTGACGAATTCATAACTCTCTCATCCAACATTTGGTGTAATATATGAGTTAGTTGAAAAATTAAATTTAATTCTAAATAAAATATTTAAATTTATTTTGTTTCTCATATTTAATTATTGTTTTTCCTGACTAATTCATCTCTAATTTAATTATAAAATGATATATAATTTAATATTATATATGAATATTATTTAGAGGAGATTATGTCATAATTATTATGATTAGTTTATTGATCTTACTTTCCTAATTTATTAAAATTAGTTATGAATGTGTTGTGCTGCCTCTAGTTCTTATTATCAGATATAGGTTGTACATTATAAACTACATTTTGTTGTATATTAAGCATAGGAAGTACAGAATTATATGAATTGGATAGGAGAAAGCATTAGGGATAATGGATATAAAAGCAAAATGGTAAGGTTTTGGATGTAATGGGAAATTGATTGTGTTAAGAGGCAGGTGTATCTTTTGTTCACATGCGGTGTTAGCTGTTAATAATGAGGTGGGAGGACAAGTAAAAAGAGAACAGGGTACGACAAGAAGAAAGTGAAAGTTGGATTTGACCACCAGGCTTTGTTGGTGGGTTGCAACTGCACTGGAAACCTTAATCAATCCTAAACGTTTCTTAATTAATTAAAAGGACAAGCAAATCACTCTGTACAGCTCATCATGATTATTACTACAATATGAACAGCTAATAATAATAATACTAAAGAGGACAGGGATTCCTTCCCAGGGAACCAAGCACACTTTGATTTGTTTGAGGTTTATGAGGCTTTAATTAATCGTTAAATTAGGGGATAAGAAAGCAGAGAGATGCTTAAGCCTGAATGGATGATGAGTCATCATTTACAATTAGACATGGGGTGGCCTGGTTAACTGGAGTGTAACCTAAGCCAAATCAAATTCTCAAAGTGATTATTCGTTACCCTTACTTGCCACTTTGGTGGATCCTTAATCTCTCACACCCCCGTCTTTTAGGTCTTCTAATTTGCTGTCATGCGTGCATGTTTTTATCAAATTCATATGTAGTTATACCTGCAATGCGTCATTATATATATATAGAGAGAGAGAGAGAGAGAAGAAACTTGGATATTAATCATGTATAGCATACCACATGCTACAGTGATTTTTGATATTATATTTTAATATTATATCATGTTTAATATTATTACAAATTTTTACAAAAAGGATAAAAATTATTGCTAGAAGAGCTCCCGTAGGAGCACAAGAGTATACTGCTAGGAAGACAATGCAGAGCCAGAGACCCATATTAACGCAGGAAAAAAAGCAAGAAGGTTGAAAGGATATAGGATGAGGAAGAATTACAATCAAGTTCCAAAAAATAAATAATTACTTAAAAATCTTAATAATAACATGAGTAGTAGGGCTGCATAATAGATAGACCAGAGTCCAATCCGAAGTCTAGTCTGATTTTTGGTCGGGTTTGGTTTGACAGTCTATAGTCTGGTTTAGTTTAGTGGTGACCCGAGGTCGAGTTGGATTGGACTTGATCCACCAAATCGGTAGAGTGGTCTGAGACAATCCAAGTTTCTTTTTTTTAAAAAAAAAATTTATGAGAACTAAGGTTTCAATATGGTAAATACAATTTAAGACAATAAAATCATATAAAACTCATCCTAAAATAGTAAGACTCATCACACATACATAAAAATCTCTAAAAATATTTTTTTAAAAAAATTAAATGTAACATCTATATTACAAATTATTGAAAAATAAAAAATTCATCTAGATTGGACTGGGCCAGTCCAGATGGTCTGATCACTTGGTCCGAAACCCAGACCAACCAGTCTAGGTGAATTTTTTATTCCAGTCCAAATAGTCTGACCACTTGGTTTCAAATCTAGGCCAACCCGACCAACCAGTCCAGTATGGTCTAATTTCATTATATAGTTTATTTGCACTGGATTGAATAGGACTAGACCACTTCTGGTTGGATTGGATTGAACCAAATCACTAGGTTTTGACATACCTCTACTGAGTAG